AATAGTATAAGATTGCATGATAAACAAAAGTAATCTTAAATAATTTTTTTTAATACAAAAAATATTTGTAGATCATATGCAAGTGTAAATCAAGATCACTCGCCTATTAAGTTTTGGAAATCATTACACAGGGATGTTAAAGTTGCTGTCGGGGAATGTCCTTTATTTATTTATATATTTACATAATATTCAACGATGCACCTCCCATAATGCCCCTGTAACCAATTAACACATATTTAGTATAAATATCAAAATAGAACTTTCCATGATGTACAAAAAATAAAATAATATATTCATAGTTATCTAGTAACTTAAAAAAAAAAAATTACAATAAGTTAATAGTCATAATTTCAGTGTTACATTTTCAATCATTTAAATTTATAGCTACATTGTATATTATATTAATATTATACAGCATAGTATATTATATATATATAAAGTTTTTTGAACAATAATAAATAATAAATATTATTAATAGCAAAAAAATACAAAGGTATACAAATTTATAAATTTGAATCATCATCTATACCTACCTAAGACATTTTTTCATATATTTTGTAAGGTTGATAATTGTTTAAAAACATGATAGTATATAAACATCTTCTGGCACCAACATTGCTACTTGAGTATAAATTTATTCAATACCCACTTTGCGTATTTTCGAATGACAGTCAATTATATATATATATATATTACTGTGATTCGAAAATATGCAAAACATATATGAATAGAAACAAAAGTGGTAATTCTTATTTGGTTATGGGATGGGCGAGAAATGTTCAGACGATCTTGTCTTGAGCCGGTAGAGATCTTTAATATTTGAAGATTGAGAGACCTTAACTATGTATAATTTTTTCTTATAAATAAGGTCACACAATCTGCAAAGATTAATGAGTAAATTACGAATGCAGATTTGCATAAACAAAATCGTACTAGAGGGACGGTCGCTGAAAGTGAAAAAATTGAGCACTTTTTTAATTAAATTCTTATTAAATATTGTAAAAATCAAGATGACTCACCTATAAGATATTGGATGACATCACACTGGGATGTAAATGTTGCTGTCGGTGAATGTCTATTATTTGTATATTAATTATTAACACAGTATTCAGCGATGCACCTTTACACAATGGTCTGTAAAATATGAACACATAATTAGTATAAATATGAAAATAAGGATCTCTGTATAAAAAATACATAATGTATGTGTATTAATCTATTTTTGTACAAACTAAACTATTCATTAACTTAAAAGGAATTAGCTGTGTCTTTGCTCAGTGATTAAAACTGTACAACATGCTACTAATCTTAATAGGTATAGGAATTTCACATATTTATGTAGGAAGTGGTCAAAGACAAAAAATATTTGTAGATCATATGCAAGTATAAATCAAGATCACTCGCCTATTAAGTTTTGGAAATCATTACACGGGGATGTTAAAGTTGCTGTCGGGGAATGTCCTTTATTTATTTATATATTTACATAATATTCAACGATGCACTTCCCATAATGCCCCTGTAACCAATTAACACATATTTAGTATGAATATCAAAATAGAACTTTCCATGATGTACAAAAAATAAAATAATACATTTATAGTAATCTTTTTTCTTTTTTTTTGTATTGATCAGCAGGGTCGAAAGATTTGCTTTAGATTTACACTACTTAATCCTGAACATTTGTATCTACATTTATACAAAATAAACTATCTAGTAACTTAAAAAAAAAAAATTACAATAAGTTAATAGTCATAATTTCAGTGTTACATTTTCAATCATTTAAATTTATAGCTACATTGTATATTACATTAATATTATACAACATAGTATATTATATATATATATATATATATAAAGTTTTTTGAACAATAATAAATAGTAAATATTATTAATAGCAAAAAAATACAAAGGTATACAAATTTATAAATTTTAATCATCATCTATACCTACCTACCTATGACATTTTTTCATATATTTTATAAGGTTGATAATTGTTTAAAAACATGATAGTATATAAACATCTTCTGGCACCAACATTGCTACTTGAGTATAAATATATTCAATATCCACTTTGCATATTTTCCAATCACAGTCAATTATATATATTACACAACTGTGAATGGAGAATGGGCAAAACATATATGAATAGAAACAAAAGTGGTAATTCTTATTTGGTTATGGGATGGGCGAGAAATGTTCAGACGATCTTGTCTTGAGCCAGTAGAGATCTTTAATATTTGCAGATTGTATGAAGTGAACTATGTAAAATTTTTTCTCATAAACCAAGTCATACAAATCTGCAAAGGTTAATGAGTAAGTTACGAATGCAGATTAGCATAAACAAAATTGTACTAGAGGGACTGTCGCTGAAAGTGATAAAATTGAGCATTTTCTTAATTAAATTCTTATCAAATATTGTAAAAATCAAGATGACTCACCTATAAGATATTGGATGACATCACACTGAGATGTAAAAGTTGCTGTCAGCGAATGTCCTATGAAATTTCAGGTAGAAATCAAGTGACGATGCTAATATTGATGTGGACAAATTTTCGTTCCAAAAGATGCTTTGCTAGAAGATGGACTGCAATATACAAACATATAATTAGGTTTAATATAACAACACCAGATTCTATGATAAACAAAAATAAATCTTTCCTGAATCCTGATGAAATCGATTATTTCAATGAACATACACTGCATTTGACTGCATTACATATATGCTCCCAAACTTCAAGAGCTCTAGAAGAACAAAAGCACAATATGTATAAGTAAACAAGACAAACTGAATGGGGTTACCTGATGTGTCTATACCCCTTATTGTCTCATAAATGTGTGATTCTCCAGGATTTGAATAATGCTGATTGTTTAATTACATAAGACAGAACGAGGACACAATATTTCAGTTAAAATTAGAGGATATTTACAATATTTGCCTTCAGTTACATTTGTATTATCAGATATATAGGGGTGTTGTATAATGTTAAATTAAGATAACTTACTGATTCTGTGTTAGATTACATTTCACGGAGATGTAACATCCTTTCATTCAAATTTTCAAATACCATTGAGTACATATTTGAAATATCGATACTAGTGCCATTTATAAAAATATATCATACAACAATTATTAAATTTTTCAATAGCGAGATCATTAATATTTATAGAGAATATATTTGTTCCAAGTATTCATTAATTTGACATATACCATAAAATACATTCTACATCAAATATTAAAATAAATCAAAATAACTCACTTATCAGGGTTTGAATGACAGCAGACTTTGATGAAATACTGGTATTTTAGCAAATAATGTCTGTTATATATGTGTATCTTTGTATAATATTCAACAATGCATCTCTACACGGTCGCCTGTAAAATATGAACACATAGTTAGCTCAAAAATGAAAAGCATTGAATGCAAAATATATAACACATATTAAATACTTGTTTATCCCACGACGATGCAAACGTTGGTGTTGACGAATTTCCATACAAACTTTGTAGTTTTACATAATCAAAAGGACGCATGGCTAAACGTTGGACTGCAACATATAAACAAATAATTAGTTTAAATATAATAGTACAAGATTGTATGATAAACAAAATTAATCTTTCCTGAATCTTGATGTAATCCATTATTTCAATGAACATACGCAGCATTTGATCAGCATTAAATAATATGCTCCTATCATTCTTCATGAGTTCAAGAAAAACAAAAGCACAATATATGTATAAATAAACAAGACAAATTGAAAGGAGTTAGCTGATGTGTCTACACTCCGTGATTAAAATCGTACAAATTGATACTAACCTTTTAAGTTTAAGAATTTCACATTTTTTTAATAAAATAGTTAACTAATATTATAATAAATGAATATCACTCATCTTCTAGGTTGATGTCGGTGAACTTCTGTTATGTACTTATGTATAAACTATATATATTTCATAATATTTAACTATGCAACCTCTATTTGATGGTCTGTAAAATATTAACACATAATTGGTATAAAGATATATATACAGCTTTATAAAGCTTTGTATGTAAAATATATAGAAAATCCATTTCAAGCTTATATTTTATTATAAGAAGTAAAGATAACTTACCTATAATGTTTCAGGTAGAATAGCAAGATGGTAAGGTAGAATCAGATAAAAGATAACTCACCTATAAGGATTAGGATGTCATCTCACTGGGATGTATAAGTTATAAATCAAACATAAGTACCTATTTCTTTTTGGTTATGGGATGAGTGAGAAATGTTCAGATGATCTTGTCTTAAATCGATTTCTTGAGTTAAAATGTATTCAATACATACATTTAAAGTTAAGAAAGTTATGATTTTTGTTTAGTCACATAACATCCGAAAACTTTAAAAATAAGGATGAATTTAAACATAAGACGTAATTCTTATTTGGTTATAGGATGAGTGAGAAATGTTCAGACAAGATCATAGATGTCTGCTGATAAAAATATAAATTACACAGTAGATACTTATATCATGTTCAATAGGACATAATATCACTAGAAGATTGATTGTAAAATATAAATACATAATTAGTTAAATAATAGTATAAGATCGTATGATTAACAAAAATAAGCCATTCCTGAATTTTGTTGCAATAAAATATTTCAATGATCATACATAGCATTTCATTAGCTTACATATTATTCCCACATTTGCAGCATTTTATAAGAGTATGCACCTCTACATGTTGCCTATAAAATATTAAGAAAGAATTAGTATAAATAAGAAAATACAAAGCTGCATGATGTCCAAATTAATTATTTTGTTGGTTAATTATTCAAAAAGTAATTTGCAAAATAATTTGCACTTATTCATTGGTAAAACCACCTAAAGGATCAAATATAACAGGGGGTGAACTGTTGTCATCGTTATTTAGTATAAATGACTTGAACACGCAAGAAGATAAACGTATACAATTTCGCCAAGCTATAGACAATATAATAGATCAAGGGTCAGATTGCCCTGATGTCATGGATCTTTTTTCTTCTTATTATGATCATGATTATACTGGTTTAACTGTGACAAATGATCCCGTGTTAGCATATATTGGAGGGTATGTAGCTAGGAAAGCAACACGATTTACAAAGTGTTTAAATTGCCTCTCATCTCTGAAATCAGAAATATCTCATTCAAGAGATGTTTTCATTGATAAATTATCTCATGGACATCTAATAAAACCATCGGAAAAATTATTTAAATTAATAAGTACTATGGAGGCTGCGACGCTTTATGTTTTAAATGAAGAAGGACTTAGCAGTGAAGTACTATTTAGCATTTGTTCTAAACTTGAACAGATAGAGTCACTACAACTTATTGGATGTGATCTCCATGCAGATGGCTTAACATCTTCTATAGTTAACTTCTTTCTTATAACAAGGGTACATTTTGTTTGTTCTCGATCCAATTCTATAGACAATGCAAAGAAAGAAAAATCAAAACTTCATAGAAAGTCTGCAAAGTTAGTTTAAGGCTTAAGCACCTAATGCTAAGCCATATTTACATTATTTTATTACCTACTTACACGATTTTGTTTTTTATACGCCTATGTAATAAATAATAATATTATTATGTTTAATGTTGTTAATAAGCTCATATGCTTTTTTAATTAATTAGTTCAAATAATCAATAATATACAACATTTATATTTAAATTTTTATTATTTTTATTGAAACTGATCTGCTCTTTAAATTGTGTTGTATAATATTTGGTCATAAGTTTTATAATTTAGGATAAAATGACTAAAGACCACAAAAGTTCCTATGCTTCTAATGTTACAGTAGTATGACTGCCGTTCTGCAGCGCGCTCTAACGGATGCTACATATCTAGTCCCTCTTTTATCTGTATAGATCGGTGTCCTTACTCTAATGTTCATGATCTATACAATTTAGCGAACAATTAAAACGTAAAATAACGTCATTGTAATCAAATGTTGATGTTCAGTAATGAATATATAAATGCATGTCCATTGAGATGGACAGTGGTAGTGAAAGGGTTAAAATTAATGTAAATGTTTTTTTTTTTTTTTTGAGCTAAAGGCCGTCAACTATGACCATTAGCTGTTTTTAGGTTGTTTGTAGGGGGAGGAACAGTTGGTTGTCGTAATCTTAAATAGACTATTTATAAACTGATAAGTAAATTATAAGATTTTATCATAATAAGATTGTAGAAGGTGGTTGTTCATGAATCATGAATTTATTTAGATACTAGTCGTTATAGTCCAATCGATATCCACTTTTTACCTTAAAAGTATTCCGAAGTTCTTGAAATTTTTACAGGTTGTCTAGGGGTACTCTAAGATGTCTATCCTAAGTTTTCGACCTCGAGGACCCTGTACTAACTTAGGAGGGGGGCTGCAAAAACACCAAAACTTTCAGACGACTTTTTTCAGTTTTTCACTTAAATCTCCTAAACTAATCATATTTTGTGGTCTATAGGTTGTAACAAAGTTGTAGACTACTAAATTTTCTAAATTATGGTTGGTAAAAATTATTTTTAGACCAAAATTCTACCGAGATACAGTCGATGAAAGTTAGAAAAAGTTTCTCAAAATTTAAACAAAAAAACTGAAAAACGAATGTTTTGGTTCCGTAACCATTTAATTTCGTAATTTTCATATTAATTATGTCAATCACTTATCAAAATTAACATCTCGGCACACCCATGTACCTCCCTGCCCCACCCCTTCACCAACACCAAACGTGAAGATGCAATGTTGTCCTAATATAATTATGGTTTTATTTAAATACATTTTATACTTTTATCACTTTAATTCTTGATTACTAAACTTTGTTAAAAATAAAATTGAAATTTTACCATTTTTTATTGCATATAAATCTTAGCATTAAATTATTAAACTTTACTATGGTACGTCCATATTGGATAAGCAGTACCTATATGCACATTTCTGTGAATTTGACGTCCTGCTTAATTTTATAATATAATAATTGTGAAACACGGCACTTTGGATAGGTACATTAGGTACAATGACGAAGAGCAATAATACGTCAAATACCTTACAATGTTCAATACTTGAATGTGCCATACTAAATAAATAAATTAATCGTAAATTAATTAGTATAAATAATTAATGATCATAGGTAAAAATAATGTAAAATAATGATTGAACAGCCGTTTTTTCTGAAGTTCCTTCCTACATCGCGCTTGGGAATAAGTTGGGGCAAACCGCATAGGTATAACTAAACCGATGTGGATTTAGGGTAAAAACAGATTTTGTCGATTCTATATTATAATATAACTTAGTAGGTACCTATAGATGGTAGGTGTATTGTACCCAAGGCTGGGCATTAACGAGTTAATAAGTTAAAGTTAAGTTACTTTTAACTAAGTCAATTAACCAGTTACTTTTTTCCCCTTGTTTTTCAGTAACTTAACGAGTTAATTAATTTTATTTGCATTTAAAGTTAATTTTTTCCCAAACCACATGTTTAAAATTGATTATATAAAAAAACACGAAATATTAAATATATTTTAGTAAATAATAATTTATAATAATAGTAAGTTATTATAATGCATAATATTGCATATTCACAGAAAATATTATATACCTAACTAGGTATATTATAGACGGAATGTTATAGGGGTAACCGCGTCATTAATAAAAGAAAATTATAACAATTTACTCAATACTTATTGGGCCAGTTAGTCACTTTTCTCAACTAGTTAAAGGTAAGTTACTTGGTATTCGTTTAGTATGTGACCTACAGAGTTAAAATCGAGTTTAGTATGTGACCTACCAAGACGATTATCTATATTATGTACGGGTACTGATCTATTAACAGGTAAGATGAATTTTTGAAATTTAAGTAAGATACAAAAAGTGTATTTCTAAAAATATAATTTAAATAAAATAAAACTCTTTTATAACAACATAATTTTATGAAATCTATTGAATAGTTTTGACATACCTATTGCTGTTATAGGTACCTATGTGTCTTCATTCATTTTGTTTAACTCATTTTGACATTGTTAAATGTAATCCTGTATTATTTTATATTTGTATATTGTATTACTAATATATTAGTTAAATAATTATTTAACATAATTTTATGATTTTTAATTTAATTGTTTTTAAATTAATTAATGGTCCTGTGGATCATATACTAAATGAATACCCAATACGGTAGGTCACGCGGTCTGGTAGGTCACATACTAAACGAATACCAGTTACTTTAATATAAAAAGTAATCAAGTTAGAGTATAAGTTAGTTTCTGAAATTTACCAAATGCCTAATACTTAGTTGGTTTGATAGAAGTTAGTTTGGTAAAAATAGTAACTTAACACGTAAGTTAGAGTAGAACTGTAGAAGTTAGAAGTTAGTTTTTTAGATTCTGGGTGGAACGATGAATGTATTGATTTTACAATGATGTGTGTTTTATTTTATTTTTCATTTTTATTTTTTTTTTGTGTCTGTTATCACGGTTTGGGGCAGTAAAACTGCTTCGATTTTCTTCAACAGTATCTTGTTTGATGGGAAAGTGAATCTAGTTGGTGCATTCGGGAGGTCAAATTATAAAATTCCCAATAGTGTTCACAAGCGCCTTGAAAAACAACATACAAATTAAGGAAAAACGGGAATTTTCACACAAAATTGATTTTGGTTTTTGGTGTACTCTAAAACAAATAAACGTATATACATGCAATTTTCACTGGTTGTTTATATTTGCATTTTCTATACACGATAACATTATCAAAATATTATGATTTGTTTTGAACTGGATAGGAACATTTTCATTTTCCATTTTTTTTTTTTTTTCTAGAAATATTAATAAAATTTTATTTGTTGGTTAAAAAAGCTTGAAAATTGAATAGAAGGCTCCTAGTATATAGTTTCAAAGGTAGATAAAAATATGAAAAATGCTTAGTCACAATTTTTTTTTTAAAGCATTTAAAGTTCAAAAATTGTTAAAATATGGAAAAATCAAGAAAACTAGCAAATTATTTTGAGTTAAGAATTCGTAAAATTTTAGATTCTGAGTGAAACGATGAATGTATTGATTTTACAATGATGTGTGTTTTTTTTTTTTTTTTGTGTCTGTGTACACGATAAGTAGTCGAAATAATGCTTCGATTTTCGACTTCAGTATCTTGTTCGATTGGAAAGTGAATATCGTTGGTGCATTAGGGAGATCAAAATTTAAAATTTCCAATAGTTTTCACAAGCGCCAGGAAAAACAACATAAACATTAAGAAAAAACGGGAATTTTTACGCAAAATCGGTTTTTGACAAAATCGAATTTGGTTTTTGGTGTAACTTTTAAACAAATGACCGTAGATACATGAAATTTTCACTGGTTGTTTATATTTGCATTTTCTATACACGATAACATTTTCAAAATATTTTGATTTATTTTGAACTGTTTAGGGACATTTTCATTTTTCATTTTTTTTTAGTTTTTTTTCTAGAAATATCAATAAAATTTTATTTGTTGGTTAAAAAAACTTGAAAATTTAATAGAAGACTCCTAGTATATTGTTTCAAAGGCAGATGAAAAATATTAAAAATCGTTAGTCACAGTTTTTTTTTATAAGCATTTAAAGTTCAAAAATTGACAAAATATGGAAAAATCACGAAAATTAGCAAATTATTTTGAGTTAAGAATTCGCAAAAATTTTTCTTTTTAAATCTAAGATTTGAAAATGTAATACAAGATTACTCATAAGTTTGTCTACCTTTATCAATAAAAAAATCTCTAGCGGACAGTCAAATTAAATTTTTATGAGCGTTTGAAATTCAAATTTTTACAACATTGGATGTTCACTCGATTTCTCTTGTAGCGATTTCCTTATTTTGTTGTTATTGATAAACGAATAACTATAGATACATGAAAATTTCACTGAATGTTTATATTAGCATTTCCTATACACTATACAATTTTGAAAATATTTTGACTCTTTTTGAGCTGTTTACGGATATTTTCATTTTTCAATTTTTTTAGTTTTTTTTTCTATGAATATCAATAAAGTTTTATCTGTTGGGCCAAAAAATGTAAAAAAGTAATACAAGGCTCCTGATATATTGATACAATATCAGTTGAAAAATATTAAAAATACATAGGCACAATTTTTTTTAATAAGCGTTTAAACATCGAATTTTGACAGAATTTTTCAAAATCTCGAAATTTATTAATCATCGTAATTAATAAGTTATAAAATGTTCAGTTTTTATAGCTAAGGATTGAAAATTTAAAACAAGATTCCACGTAAGTAGTTAATTCTCTTACCAAAAAATCTAAAAAATATACAATCACAGTTTATTTTTATAGTCATTTTATGTTCAAATTTGGACGAAATTACATATTAAAAAACCTAGTTATTTTGTTGTGATTATATAATATTATTCGTGGGTACCTACTTGAAATTTCTAAAGTATACTATTATATATCTATGATAGTATCAGGGTTTGTTATTGATGTTTATGTATAACGTGTTATAAGTACCTAATGGATATTGTGATAATGTGATATATGATTAATTTGGAATTTATTATAGGTCAATTTTTTTTTTAATACCATAGATATGTATATAATTTGTCTTAAACCTAGACTGACATACCGTCTTCGCTCAGAATCGTTTTTCTTATACAATGATATTATATCATTGAATTCAAATTTAATAGCATCCATTATACAGTGACCCACTTGTAACCTACTGTACAGCAGAACACCTTTTTATTTTATGTTTATGTTTATTTTTACTGTACAGCAGAGCGACATCCACTTACCCACCTTTTTTTTATTATGTCTCCCTACAAAAAAGCTCGAACTGTTAAAAAAAAAACAAACAGCATAAATCGGAAATGGAGGTCCGATTAAGGATGGCTAGAAAAAATCGGCATATTACGTAAGTATTAATTTACTATTTAGTTATCTATCTTCTATTCATAATATGCAAACTTGGATACCAATGATTAATTTGTGTATGATTATAAAGAGGAATACCGCAAAATTTGAACCCAGAAGATCCCGAAATTGATAATTTTGTGTAAGTTGGATATACCTACCATTTATTTACACGTACGTTGCGCCAGCACTGTCCATTTAAAAAATTACAATTTCCAACACTTTTAAATACTTATAATTTAGCACGTAATTAGCACGAATTTGCACCGACTAACTGCGAAATTCGCACGATTATTGTTTCGATTGATGTTTCACGTGGGTATTTGATTCATTTTTGAATACTTATTAAAATGTTTTTATCTTTAACTATGGATGTACACATTTAATAAATAAAGGGTTAGTATTTAAAATTTTAATGTCAAATTTATGTTTCTCGTTGAACGAGTTGCGTACAAATTCCGAAAACGGTCGCGCAAATTGATGCTAATTACTATTATTGATAAAAAAAAAATATTTTTTTGAATGGGCGGTGCTGGTGCAACGTTTGTTTTTCTTACTCGAAAGTGTAATGTGCTGTTCAACTGTTTGTTGTTTTTGTCATGATTAAAAATCAATGATTTGTAAATTTATTTTGTACCTATTTAATAAAATCTCAAATTCAAGCTTGGATCAAAATAACACTAACTTTGAATATATTAGCTTGGAACCCACCACGAGTGTTCAAAATCAAGTAACTTCTTCGGAAGAATTAATAGAGATTAATGATTCGTACAATTTAAATACGATTGTGCCGTAAGTATGCAAATTAAATAATATTTTTATTTGATTAATCTCGTTTGGGGATTCGGCAATGCATATTTTTAAATTTTCACACTCCAATTTAAACTATGTAGTTTCGATGGTACACCGCACCTAATATTGATTGTACATTTGTACATCGACTCCTAATCTTGATGATACTGATATATTATATTTAAATAAAATACAATACGAGGATGAAAGAAATTATGTAGCTGACTCTTTTGACAGCCCTATACGCTATTTAGTTCGAGGTACCTATATACCTATATTTAAAACATTTTAACTACAAATTACAATACTTATTGATAAATGATAATATAGATCATACATTTTAATGTTTGTATAGTGATACTGTAACTGATGATATTGATGCTCATAATTTAAGCGTAGTTTCAAATACTACATCTGACACAATCGTTATTCGTTTCCGAGTATGTATAACCTATTTTTGGTCTTGCCCATCTAACTTACTTATAAGTTATAATATATATATTTATATTTAGGAATTTAGTAGGCAGATGAATAGTGGATATAGCTTATATTTTCGAACAAATAAAAAAAAGTCGCCATAGTGGTGGTACCGATTGTTCATTTTTAGATATGACATTTAAATCAGAAATTAGAAACGGGTATACTTCAAGTTTTAAATTTCAATGTCAAATTTGTAGCATTAAAAGTATAATCCATTCAGAAAATCCAAAAAAATCATACATACCGATTAACAAAACTATAGTTAATGGTAGTATCGCAGCAGGTATATATGGTTAATACATTATACTAATATAAACTATTCTGAACGGAGACGATTAATTGTCAGCCTAGAAACTTTTATTTATTTATTTTATATCTAAAACCGTTCGCTAGTAAATCATTTTTTTACGCGTGAATTTATAAATTTTTAAATTTAGGCACTCGTAATTTTAGTGAATATTTGACCTTTATAGTTTCAACGCTTACCTATTAAAAAAAATTGAGCCTATGTATTTCGATAATTTTTTAATCACACATAGATTAACTTATGTGAACACATATTCAATATCCCCAAATATTTCGACTCAGCCAAAAAATCTTAATCGACATTTATAAAAAAAAAAAATCGAATATTTTAAATGCCAAAAAATCTTAATCGACATTTATAAAAAAAAAAAATCGAATATTTTAAATGCTTATAAATGGCTGAACAATTTCGATGTATTAGTGAACCAATATAAACATTTGGTGAAAATTTCAAGTTTATACAGTTTTTAGTTTTCGAGTGACAGCCAAATTAAAAATTTTATTTTATCAAAAACTGGTTTTGCGTAAAAATTCCTGTTTTTTAAAACGTTTTATAAAAAAAACATTCAGAATATAAGAAATTAGAAAAATATGGTATAAATAAATTGTAATTAATAAAACATTAAATATTACAAAAAAAGGATTAGGATATGCACAGTTAACGGAGCTTTCTGCTTCAGTTGAAGTACCTACTATCGAACACGGACAAATCGCCGTCGCCGTTTCGCCGTTGCCATTTCGCCGTCGCAACTTCACCGTAAAACCATTTCGTCGTCGCTGTTTCGACGTGAGGCCACTTCGCCGTTAAAAAAAATTAACAAAATACACATTTTAGATTCTGAGTGGAACGATGAATGTATTGATTTTACAATGATGTGTGTTTTTATATATTTTTTTTAATTTTTTTATTTTTGTGTCTGTGTACACGATATAAGTAGTCGAAATAATGCTTCGATTTTCGACTTCAGTATCTTGTTCGATTGGAAAGTGAATATCGCTGGTGCATTGGGAGATCAAAATTTAAGATTCCCAGTAATTTTCAAAAGCGCCAAGAAAAACAAAAGAAAAATTAAGGAAAAACGGGAATTTTTACGCAAAATCGATTTTTCAGAAAATTGAATTTGGTTTTTGGTGTAACTTTAAAACAAATGACCGTAGATACATGAAATTTTCACTGGTTGTTTATATTTGAATTTTCTATACACGATAACATTTTCAAAATATTTTGATTTATTTTGAACTGTTTAGGGACATTTTCATTTTTCTTTTTTGTTTAGTTTTTTTTCTAGAAATATCAATAAAATTTTATTTGTTGGTTAAAAAACCTTGAAAATTTAATAGAATGCTCCTAGTATATTGTTTCAAAGGCAGATGAAAAATATTAAAAATCGTTAGTCACAGTTTTTTTTTATAAGCATTTAAAGTTCAAAAATTGACAAAATAAGTACACCTCCAATATCTTTAGCCAGTATTACGTAAACTTGAGCAAAAAGAGGAGGTGCAATCTTAAATGTTCCGTCACAAAACCATATATTTGATCGTTCTAAAATATCTAAACTGCATAATCTACCAAAACTTAAAATTCTATCTAGACCTGGGACCTGTAGATGAATTCTGTAAGTCGATAAGTTAGCTTAACGACAACTTTCGGTTCGTTAAGCTATCGGAAGCTGTGTTATCGACAATTTAAAAAAAAAGAGATTCTGTAATTAGGTTTTCGATAAGTTATCGATATTTGTCGTTAATAAAATCGATAACAGACGTTAACGATAGTGCCACTTTGAAACCCCTCGTTAACGTTTAACGAAACATATTTGTATGTGTTTCCTCATCATAGACTTATAATATAAGTTTATTATAAGCCTATGTTCCTCATTCTTCAAAACGATAATTATGAAAATATACATGACAAAATAAATGTTGTCAATTGTCATGGAAAAACGTTGGCTTTTGAGTACTTGAACTATGATCAAATAACAACTACCTAATAGTTATTTTCTTAAATGCATTGTTTTTTCTTTTATTATTTTAATCAAATTTAATTTAAGTATGGCTCTTGCTTATTTGGCTTGGGAACAGATTTTTTTGGAAGAAAGAGTTCTTATAGTTGGAAGACGTTTAGAAAGAAGAATACTTAGGGATGGTCAAAACCCTTTTGAATTACCGAATGATGAATTCATGGGTGCATTTCGTTTGAGCCAACAATTGGTTATAAATATAATTGATGCATTGAGGACACAAGAGTACTCACCTAAAAAAATACATGTAATGTAGCATGTAGGTACCTACTACCAACTCTATATATTATAACATAATATAATTTAAATAATTTAATACATACAATAGTATACAAAAGTATGGTTTTATATTATTCGATTTTGAAAACAATAAAATTATAATTTATAAAATTATTTTATTAAATTGTTTATCAGTATAGTTATAATATTTATACCAACTTCCATATTATGTGTCTAATAATATAGTAGGTATACATATATATAGATATAATTTGTATTATTATTTATTGTGTTTTTTTTTAAGTCTAACACATTTATAATTTGTAACCTTCTATAGGTAAATATGAAACTGTAGCCATTAATATATAGGTAACTTACCTTTCATCCATTTTTTATTTTCTTTACGCCAAAGAAGAAAGAACTACACTCGCTTTTAAATTTCTAATAATAATTTTGAAATCGTAGTCGGAATGCGCATTATCACTTCATAATAAATTACAAAAATATTATCATAAATAGGCGTCGTTGATTGGATAGATTAACTAGCGTCTTTGTTTTTGTGATAGGATAACGAATATTTTCGATAATAATAATTATCCATATTGTATCGATTATTATTCGATACAACGTTTTATAGAATACGGTTTTCGTTGAAGTGATTCGATACAAGCTATGAATTTCGATAAGCTATTTTAACAAACTTTTTCGTTAAATCCTTATCGACTTACAGAATTCATCTACTGGCCCACTATCATCGAGTAAAAATTTCTCATTCACACCTTCAGATGGTGAATAAATTGTGTACGCTTCTGGAATTATTAGAGAAATTAAATCTTGAGGTGCAGAGGGAGCTAAATATCTGTTGGATGTTATTTTATTACTATCTTAATTCTACCTATTTTCGTTTATCGCTGGACGCGATTATAAGCTATGATAAATCTCATACACACAAACTCTGCAGCACATCTAAACCTTCAAATATCGGAAAATGATAAACTATTTAGGGCCCATATTACAATAGTCGATTACACTTCGATTATGTAAATAACTATTGTAATACGGCACTTAGACGTCGATAAAAGCTTATTATTATTAAATATTATTGACGAAAAATAAAAATATTTTTTATTATTATTGAATATTGGAATGTGTATAATGTGAAAATGTGTATAATAAATAATAATAAGTAAAATACTAAAAATTTTTTTTAACGCCGAAGTGTTCTCACGTCGAAACAGCGACGGCGATTTGTCCTAGATGTGCAATACGACGTACATAAAATTACAAAATTGTATTAGTTTGGTTGTACAAAAAACTGCATGTAGTGAAATGCAAAAGGCTGGAGACGAAGAACGACGGATGGCATTAGAAAATGATGAGGTTGACGTGGACGGTATACCTATGTGTACAGTTATCGCTGATGGCCAATGGTCGAAACGTAGCTATAAGTCCAAGTACAATGCTTTATCAGGAACGGTACGAAAGTATAATTGTTTAAATTAATTTGCAAATTATTATAATGTTCAATTTTTAATTGTATTAAAACAATATTATGTAGGCCACAGTGGTCGAAGTGTGGGGGGGGGGATACGGAGGGATGACATCCCTCTACTTTTTTGTATTTACATTTTTCATCCCTCTACTTATTTTGTCTAGAATAACGCATTCCTCCTAAGACTTGTGTTTTAAAATGAAATAATTATTATGATTTTTATATTTATACCTATGTATAAGAAAACTTTTTATTTTTCGTATAAGCCGTTTCGCAATCATATTATCTATACCCGTATTTAGAGCCACGGATTAAGAATTTACATATACCTTAGTCGTGTTTAGAGCTAATAACATAATATTTTAATATCACAAAACAATAACAATATTGATGATAATAAGTCCACAGAAAAATATTATAAATAAAATATTTTATCAGTTTTTTTTGAAAAATTTGAAAATATGTTATTTATTTGTTTAGTTTTAAAGATTATTAAGGATCGAAAAAGATTGTAGTATTCTGATGCATAAACAAAATGTGAACTATAAAAAAAAAAATACTATACAAGGTATGAAGAATGTTATGATGATATCAGGAAATCTGAATTGTGAGGCATCCCTCCACTTATCTTGAGCCATTTCGACCACTGGTAGGCCACTATTATTGGGAAAAGAACCTGGAAAGTTTTATTTGTAAGAATAAGAAATAGGTACTGTGTTGTTTGTCAAAGAGCATCGAATCGAAATGAGAAAGCATCCGAACACGAATGTTTTTTAAATTGGAGTGAGGCCCTATTAATAGTAGGGCCCTATTAATTGGAAAATGTATATTATCTCAAATTCTAAGATTTCGTTCTGACGTTACCAAGGCTGTACAATTTAGAAAAAAACAAGAGATACCTAAGGCTCAACAAATTACAGGTTTATTATAAAAGACTAATTATTTATAGTTATTATTTGTAAAGATTATTTTTGTGTATTTTATTTTCTGAGTGGAGATTGTATTTCACCTATATATTATGTCTACAAAATAATTCAAACTCAAACTCTTGTAGAAAATTTATGTAGCTTTATGGTAGACTTTTTTAAAATTAATGTGGGGAAAATTATGAAGAACCTTATATTAAATTGTCAAGCTTATAACTATTTTATCATACATAATATTATATACTCGCAAATCGAATATAAACTATTACTAACACTAAATTTGTTCTGTCAAACGGAACGCGTTATAACGCGCGTTAAAGCGGTAAAATTATATTCCTTGTTTTTACGGCGATACAAGTGTGATATCTGTGCATATTTAAAAGAAATCAGTCTGTATACCGTAAAAACAGGTATTGAATACACTTTTACTCAAGTCTGCGCATGGAGTTAGTTTTGGCATTAAAATATAGAATACCTAATACGGTCTAGGACATTTCGGCGTGGCCATCTCGGCGTGGCCATTTCGGCGTGGCCGTTTCGGCGTAAGGCCGTTTAGGCGTAGAGCCATTCAAGAAATTAGGTAGGTCACCATAAAATATAAATATATAAATAATTTTTGTATAAAAAACTGTATATAATAATTAGGTATATTTAAGTATAATAAAACAAATTTAATTAAAATAATTAGAATGCTATAAAAATTGTATTAAATATATAAATAATTTTTGTATAAAAAACTGTATATAATAATATTAAAATATTAAAAATATAAAAATAAGGAGAATGCTATTAAAATCATGAATAAAAATATTCAGGTCATCATACTTAAATTATGTGCTATCCCTCTTAAAAAGCTCATAATATTACGATTATCATAATCGCAGACTAATTTTAAAATACGTTTATCGACGTCGATGTATTTTTTTTTTCTTTTTTGGTGGACTTTTGCCTGTTTCTAATTGGCAAAAGAACGTGTCTCGGCCACTTTGTATTCTCCTTAAACATGATATAAATGCCCATAGTGTCGGATGGTCAACTGCCATTTGTAGATTAAGACGACGATTTGCCGCTTCTGCATGATTATTTGTTCGATCGTCTTTATTAAGTACGCGATCATGAACATTCCAAATTATAGGGGGGAAAAGTGGGTTTCGACAACGATTTCTTACAACTGTACCGATGTAGTTTTCTTCAAACCATTCCAAGAGAGGAAATATTTCTTCAGGCAGTTCATCATATAATAAGTTTACACTATTGTAAATGTCGTCAATTTTAACAAAAGCTAAAGCCAAAATCATTTTAATATAAATTGAAAAATCTGCATCATTTTTATATTTAGAAAATAATTCTAGGTCACCCATTTTAAGTCTAAAATTTTTTGTCAAATGAAATAGACATCCGTGAATTTGAACTTCAGGGAAATTGTTTTTAATTGTTTTGATCGCAGCTTGCTCAAAATCGCAAGCAATTGATTTTGGTTTTAACCCTGGTTTTAATTCAATTAATATTTTAAATAGCCGTTCATACGTTTGGTTTTTTTTATCGGGTAAAAGAGCATAAATAAGGGGATGAACGCCATCGAGGTATTTACTTAATATTACATATACTTGCGAAAATAAATATATATATATAAATATTATTATTATATACAGTTCATACTGCATACCTGCATCGGCTGCATCTAACCGACGAAAGTGAGATAAAAGGTGATAAATGATATCGGTACAATACAATCAATACTAAGATTATATTATCTAAACGCGATTAAAATCATTTTATGAAAAATGACTACGCCGAAATCGACCCACGCCGAAATGGCTGTACGCCGAAACAGCCACGCCGAAACGGCCACGCCGAAATGGCCACGCCGAAATGTCCGGATCCGTACCTAATAGTATCTTGTTAGAAAACTTTTGGAGTAATTAACAACCAAATAAAATTTAAAATGTTATATTCGATGATTTAATTATTTAAATGTATAGATACGTATACATAGAACATTATTGGTAGATTATTGTGCATTTATTTTATTGCTTATATTGATCAGTTGCTTAATTTCATTGTTCATTCATCACCAATAATTCAAGTTAGTTACCTACAGTTATTCGTTTTTGAATTACAACCAAATAAAGAAATCGCTACATGAGAAATCGAGTGAATATCCAATGTTGTAACTACCTATACTAAATTCCAAATTGATCATATCACAATATCCATTAGGTACTTATAACACGTTATACATCAACAACAAACCGTGATACTATCATTGATATATAATAGTATACTTTAGAAGTTTCAAGTAGGTACCCACGAATAATATTATACAATCATAACAAAATTACTAAAATAGTTATTCTAGGTTTTTTAATATGTAATTTCGTCCGAATTTGAACTTAAAATGACTATAAAAATAAAATTTGTTTATGTATTTTTAATATTTTTCAACTGCTATTGTAACAATAGATCAGGAGACTTGTAATGTAAATAAAACTTTATTGATATTTATAGAAAAAAAACTAAAATAATTGAAAACTGTAATTGTCCTTAAACAGCTCAAAAAGAGTCAAAATATTTTCAAAATTGAATGGTGTATAGGATATGCTAATATAAACATTCAGTGAAATTTTCATGTATCTACAGTTATTAGTTTTTGAATTACAACAAAATGAAGAAATTGCTACATGAGAAATCGAGTGAATATCCAATGTTGTAAAAATTTGAATTTCAAACGCTCATAAAAATTTAATTTGACTTTCTTATAGACATTTTTTTTTTGATAAAGGTAGATAATCTTATAAGGAATCTTGTATTACATTTTAAAACCTTAGATTTAAAAAGAAAAATTTTTACGAATTCTTAACTCAAAATAGTTTGCTAATTTTCGTGATTTTTCCATATTTTGTCAATTTTTGAACTTTAAATGCTTATAAAAAAAAACTGTGTCTAACGATTTTTAATATTTTTCATCTGCCTTTGAAACAGTATACTAGCAGCTCTCTATTCAATTTTCAAGTTTTTTTAAAAAACAAATGACATTTTATTGATATATATAGAATAAAAAACTAAAACAATTGGAAACCGAAAATGTCCCTAAACAATTCAAAATATGTCAAAATATTTTAAAAAGAGGCATGGTGTATAGAAAATTCTAATATAAACAGTCAGTAAAAATGTCATGTATCTACGGTCATTTGTTTTAAAGTTACATAAAAAACCAAAATCCATTTTCTCGAAAACAGATTTTGGGTAAAAATTCCCGTTTTTCCTTAATTTTTCTTTGTTTTTTGCTGTGCGTTTGAAAACTATTCTGAAATTTTCACTTTTGACCCCCCAAAGTACCAACTAGATTCACTTTCTTATCAGAAAAGCTACTGTTGAAAAAAATCCAAGCACTTTTCCTAAAAGGTAATGAGTGATGACAGACACAAAAAAAAAATTAAAAAACACATCATTGTAAAATCAAAACATTCGTCGTTCCACTCAGAATCTAAAAAACTAACTTTTAACTTTTACAATTCTACTCTAACTTATATCTTAAGTTACTATTTTATAAATTGTAATATTTTTCGTAACTATGGATATTTGTGTTTTTACGATTTATTGATCTAAGTTAATTTGGTTACCTACACCATTATTGTATATTGTTATCTATAGTCCGCTATAAATCAATATATTTTGTTTGTTTATAAAAAGAGTGAAATCTTTACGTTTTTCAATCGATTGAATATGACGTTCTGGAATTCTATGTTGTCCAAATCTCAAGCTGTGCTAAGCGCAATTAGAAAAGTACCAACGATGAAAATATTTGAAAAGAACATTTTGCCGGACAAAAAGTTGGAGGCAAACTTGAGAACCACGAAAGATAAGTACGTGTAAATATTATTTTTTAATTACAAATAATATTACTCTTATATCTTTTCTATCACATAATTATAATATCTCTATGGACCACGTACTAGATGCAGGCTTGGATTAATTAATCTGTGGTGGCCCTACAAGCACTTTTTTCAAAATATGGAGAATTTAATATATTTGAACTAAAAAATATTAATTATAATTATCGTGAAAATATTTTTCTAATGCTTATTTTATACAACATTATATTTCCTTCAAATTAGAAAAATTATACTTAGTTATGTTTTCTCATCAACAACCAACACAAAAAGTAGCTGGTTTTACAATAATACAGTGGAAATTTATCACCTTGTCTCCCTTGAATGACGCCACTGTCCGTGGGCTAGATGACTAGTTAAAGGGATTAAGCAAAGTTAGGTACTCTACCAGGCAATTTTTTTTTTTTTAATTGTCTTTCTGCGATCAAAATAATATATATTTCTGCATACTGAAGATAACGAATGTAAAATAAAAATGTAGAGGAAACTTTTTTGTTTTAATGATATAACTTATAACCATTTGAAGTTTGTCATTTAAACGGTTTTATGGATCTACCCAAGATGGTTTTACATAACAAAAAGATTGATGATATCGGTTTAAATTGTACGGGTAGCGATCGACTGACCATCGCCGGGTCATTTTATGTAGGTACTGGTAAAAATATTGTTCTTACACCGATGTCCGAGGCGCCCTACTGATAAATAACACCTCATCAAACAAGTAGTGAAACAACCATGACAAAATACTAAAAATATAGCACTCAATATTTACAATATGCTGAATAGATAAATTAAAAATTTTAACAATATGAATTTAATCAAGTCATATTATAGAGCCATATAATAGGTGATTTATTGTTTTGATTTTGAAATTTAACTCCTATAACAATATTATAATTACCTATACCTGTAGATTATTAATAGATATTATTGCTATATTTATAGCTACTTATCTTCGTACGGTTATATGTCTGGAAAAATGAAAAGCATGACTACATCGAAGGATGTCATGTTTAAAGTGGCGGATTTTTTGAAAGTCAAAGGAGGTATGGGTGCAGCAATCGAAAATCACGGTCCAGGAGTAGATAATATATCACGCACAGGTAAACATGTCTATATATACAACAAGTATGAATGTTTCTTTCTTTATTTGTTCTCTATAAACTCAAAAACTACTTTAACGTTTTGAATAAAATTTATACCAATAGATTCCTTGAGACTTGGGGTGGGGGATTTGTAGCTTTGTTTTTCGACCCATACAGGTGACTCACACATTAATATAGATTCTGCTCACGAAACCTTAATACAAAATATATTTTTGTTTGTATTATAAGGTTGTCATTATTGGTTACAGATAAATAATAGTTTTTATGATAGGATATCATATAATACATAAAATTATTATATATACCTAATTATCATATCATATATTGTATTATATTTTGTCATATAAGCTCATAAACTATTAATTAATAAAAATGCTAAATTGAGTAGGTATCAGCTATATTATTATATTTATAAGATACAGAGTGAGTGGTTGAGGTTTTTATAGATAAATAAAAAAAAATAAATACTTTTTACCGATTTAAAAAAAAAACAATTATTGAGGATATCTTAACAGACGCTAAACGGAAACGATAAACAAATAGATTACAATAGTTAGTTGTTAAATACTGATATTATTAGTCGGGTTGTATATTTAAAACGTGCAAATATGCAAATCCACAATTTTTGAACAATCGGCAACAAATTTTTTTGGATCCCGTCGGGTCACGAGAGTAGTAGATTTGAAGCCACGGGTATATAATTTTAGTGTAGTTTACTTACCCACTATTAATAAAATTATAAAAATCATAACCGCATAATCGTTTATTTCTCCTTGAAATCGTTTACCTGCACATGAGAAAAATAAATTTACTGATTACTATCAGCCGCAAGTGGATTGCCCATCTCGGTTTTTTTTAAGTCTGCGTATACGACTTTAAATACCTATACTAAGCGTAGAGTATCAATAATCAAGGCTGGGCATTAACGAGTTAAAAGTTAAAATTAAGTTAAAACGTTAAGTTAATTTTAATCAAGTTAATTAACTCGTTACTATTTTTTCAAATTAACTTTTAACTTAATAAGTTACTTTTTTTCAAGATTAACGTGTTAACTTCAAGTTAATTTTATTTCAAAAATATCTAAATTAAGTTAATTTTTGTCCGAAGAATAATGCAAATTTTAGAATGTGTTTTTACTTTGATGTATCATTTTAAATTTCCCCAGTAATTTTCTTGAAAGTAACGAAAAACTATCTAAAAAACCATGTTATGTGTCCGGATTTTTTTATTTTTGCACATTAGCAAATTTTAACTTTACACTAAGTTAAGTTACTTTTTTTTCAAAGTTAACTTTAACTTAACGAGTTAACGAAAAAAAAATACGAGTAACTTTTAACTTAACTTAATTATTTTAAAATAACA